CATCAACAAAACAACAAAAAAGCTCACTGCATGGGAGAACATATTTGCCAATGTTACATCCGATAAGGGTTTAATCTCCAAAATTTATAGGGAACTCATACAACTTAACAAAAGGAAGATAAACAATCCAATAAAAAATGGGCAAAGGACCTAAATAGACATTTTTTTGAAAGTGGACATACAGAAGGCCAGGAGACATATGAAAAAAGCTCAAAGTCACTAATCATTAGAGAGATGCAAATCAAAACAACAGTGAGGTACCATTTCACACCTGTCAGAATGGCTATCATCAACAGATTAACAAAGGACAAGTGCTGGAGAGGATGTGGAGAAAAAGGAACACTCGTGCACTGCTGGTGGGAATGCAGACTGGTGCAGCCACTATGGAAAACAGTATGGATTTTCCTCAAAAAATTAATAATGGAACTGCCATTTGACCCAGTAATCCCACTTCTAGGAATATATCCCAAGAAATCAAAACACCAATCAGAAAGGATATATGCACCCCTACGTTCATAGCAGCACAATTCACCATAGCTAAGATCTGGAAACAGCCTAAGTGCCCATCAGCAGATGAATGGATTAGAAAACTGTGGCACATCTACACAATGGAATACTATGCTGCTTAAAAAGGAAGGAACTCCTACCATTTGCAACAGCATGGATGGAACTGGAGAGCATTATGCTAAGTGAAATAAGCCAGGCAGTGAAAGAAAAATACCACATGATCTCACTCATTTATGGATAATAAAGACCATTATAAACTGATGAACAAAAATAGATACAGAAGCAGAGCAGCATCGAACAGACTGTCAAACTACAGCGGGAAGGCTGGGGAGGATTGTGGGGGGAGGTAAGAGATTAACCAAAGGACTTGTATGCATGCATATAAGCATAACCAATGACATAGACTGTAGGGCATGTGCTGAGGGGTGGGAGTGGCCAGGGAGATGTCAATGGGGGAAAAGGGAGACATCTGTATTACTTTCAACAATAAAAATACATTTTACAAAAACAAAACAAAAAAACCGTGGCTATGACAGTAAAGCCCTTACATTTCTGTGGAAGAGGAGGTAAGACTCTAGAGTGGAACAGCGTCCACGGTGATAAGATCCAAGGTGTGGGTCATGTAGAGTCAAGGTTATGGTTGGAGTGGACAAGGTGAAGCAACTGGGAAACCAAGTATTGAGCCCGGCCCGTGTGGCTCAGTGGTTGAGCATCCACCCATGAACCAGGAGGTCGTGGTTAGATTCCTGGTCAGGGCACATGCTGGGTTGTGGGATCAATCCCCAGTAAGGGGCGTGGAGGAGGCAGTCGATCAATGATTCTCTCTCGTTGATGTTTCTATCTCTCCCTTTCCCTTCCTCTCTGAAATCAATAAAAATATTTTTTTAAAAAGAAATCGTGTATTGAAAAGTCATATGCAAGATGTGTACAAGAATGTTCATAGGAGATTGGTTTATAATAGCCAAAAATAAGAAACAATCCAATTGTACATAATGAAGTGAACAGATAAACCAACTAGTATAATCTAATACTACTCAGCAATGAGGGGGCAAGCTACTGATATGGCAACAACATAGATCAATGTCACAGACATTATGTAGAATGAAAGAAGCCAGGTACAAGAGTGCATAGCATAGGATTCCATTTACATGAGATTCAAAAATAAATTAAACTAATCTATAGGGGCAAAAATCAGTGGTTGCTTCTGGGAGTGGGGAAGGGTTGACCAAAAATGAACATGAGAAAAGTTCTGGGGTGATGGGAATAATCTACATCTCAGTTGCAGCATTGTTGACATATATTTGCCAGAGTTCATCAAACTGTATGCTTAATATCTGTGAATGTTACTGTATATAATGTATCTAAGTATTTAAAATGTCATCTATCCTGCCCTAGCCGGCTTGGCTCAGTGGACAGAGCATTGGCCTGTGGACTGAAAGTTCCTGGGTTTTGATTCTGGTCAAGGGCACATGCCCAGGTTGCGGGCTCGACCCCCAGTGTGGGGTGTGCAGGAGGCAGTCGATCAATGATTCTCTCTTATCATTGATGTTTCTGTCTCTCTCTCCCTCTCCCTTCCTCTCTGAAATAAATTATATATATAATTATATATATATATGTATATAAAATAAAAGCATAATATGCTAATTAGACCAGACAGCCGAACTACCTTCCGTACATCCTTCTGGACGACCTGCCAGACGAAGCCAGGGCTGTGAGGGCCGAGGCAAGCCACCGAGGCTGCGAGGGCTGATCCCCTTGCATGAATTTCGTGCATCGGGCCTCTAGTATTTATATAAATGTCATCTACCTGGCCATTAGGTCTTGATGACAGAGGTTGAAACAAAGGAAACTGGAGAGGCGGATGCCAGCTCTTGGTGAATGTGAGGGAAGTTGGACAATGACACAGAAAGAACGAAGGTGACAGGGTCCAATGCCATGAACCTCAAAGGAGATGTCGTGGTCAAAGGTTGAAAGTATAAACTGGAACCATTAATTAGTTTGAAAACGTTTGTAAGGACTTGATCAGAGAAGTCGCCCACATCTCACCCCTGCCAACACTTAGAGGAGAGGACACCCGCTGAGGTGGGATCACCTGTGCAGGGTCCCAGGGTCCCTTCGGGGTGTCACCTCGTCACCTGCTCTGAGCTCTGTGTTGGGCATTTACTGGTCCTGACCGCACTCTGGTCAGCACACAGCTGGGTGTTACAGGAGTTAGACAGGTGTGTGCATCACTTTACAGCTTTTCTTTTAAAAAATATTTTTCTTGATTTCAGAGAGGAAGGGAGAGGGAGAGAAAGATGCAAACATCAATGATGAGAGAATCATTGATTGGCTGCCTCCTGCATGCCCCCCCCCCCCCCCCCCCCGCAACCTGGGGAAGAAGCCCACACCCAGGCATGTGCCTACAGGGAATTGAACTGGGACTCAGGATCGACTGTTCATAAGTCGATGCTCAGCCACTAACCACGCTGGCCAGGGAACGTTACAGCTTTTTCTGTTCATTGAGTCTGGAGTCCCTGGTGAACTGTTCTCTTGGAAGATTCCATCCTTGTGTCCACTGAGTTAATTTGCAGGGCAGTTCCCATCCCGCAGGGTGAAGTTCCCCAGGCGTCTCAGCGTTACTGAAAAAGGCCACACACGTCCCAGGGTTATTCCAGACGGGTTACATCCAAGTGTTGTCTTTGGAACCTACAAGTTTTGGATATTGAAAATCGTAGGTAGAGGAAAGAGGAAGAGAGCAAGGCACCCTTCAGTTCAGGCCCAGCTGTAACATCGGCCAGCCTAGCCCGGGACTGGGAGGCGCTAGGGCGACGCCGTGCCCAGCACAGCAGGGTCTGGCAGTAACAGATGCGACTCCCACTTTGCAGATGCGTCAGCGGTGGAACCAGGACTCCCACGAGGCTGCCTTCCAGGCCGCGTGGCCCTGGGCGGCGGCGCAGCGCGCTGTGCTGTGTGCACTCAGCAGGCCACTGTGAGGTGACCTCCCCGCCCTCTCCAAACCGGGGGCTTCTCACAGCTGAGGAGGAGACACCCTTTCCTCGACGCTGACCCTTTGGGTGGTGATAGGTGTCGATAGGACCAGGCAAGGGCAGGGCAGGGCGGAGGCCAGGTGGGAAAAGCCGCCTCTCGGTGCCCCGGCTGCCTCATGCTCCAGGACCAGCAGGGGGCAGACCTCGCACAGCCTGGCAGCTCCGGCCCACCGCGGGCTGGGTGCCCCACGCAGCGTCCGCGGATGGGGAGGGCGGAGGCCGTCCTCCGGGCTGTGGCGCCGGCCTGTCCAGGCGGTTCTGAGAAGCCACGTTTGTTGGGGCTTATAGTTTGCGGGGAGCTGGCATTTGCACCCAGTCAGACTCCACGCCGGCGGCTTAACCATGAGATTACTGCTTCTCCAAAACAACGAAAAGCTTCAGATCACCCCGGGATGGGGGCGGGGGGGGCGGCGCTAGCTATCTACACTGTATTGTGAACAGAGCTAGAAACACAGGCACCAAGAAAAACAACGCATTCATCTAAAAGGGTACAGAGAGCCCGGCGGGGTGCTCAGGTGGTTGGAGCATTGTCCTGTGCACTGGTATTTCTCTCTCTCTCTGTCTCCCCCCCGCCCCCCTCCTTCCTCTCTCTTAAGTCAATAAACATATCCTCAGGTGAGGATTTTAAAAATAAAATAAATAAGATAAATACATAACATCGACGGAGCCAGAGAGAAGTGTGTGGTGAGGCTGGCCCTGTTTCACCAGGCACATTACCGGTCACCCTCTTGTCCCCGTGCTGTGCTCCTCAGGCGGCTCTGCCATGCACGTGTGTGCCATATTCTCGTATTAACCCCTCTACAGCCGTGAGCTACATGCACACGATGTGTCTCTCATTTGTGTCTGTACGAACACATTCCCTGTAATGGCCTCTGCGTTCTCAGTGGATGCTGGTTAAATAACGAGTGCAGCAATAAAGGAGTGAATGTACCAGTGGTGGGCAGTCCACACAGAACGTGGTGGGTAAAGCGGACCCCAGCGAGCCGGACTCCTTCCATGGAGACTTGAATATGAAGGGTTCCAACTTCTCCATCAGCTGCACTCACCCCGCCAAACCTCGCAGGTCTAAGTTAAACAGGAAGCAAGCCCCGAGCAAACCTTGCCACCACCACCAATCAGCTCACTTCTTCTAATCTCCTCAATTATAGCATCTCTAGAGCTGCCCCTGGGAGGGTCGGATTCCAGGGAAAGAAATGGATGGGTGGGCCTGGGCACTGAGGAGCCAACAGGTGGGAAAGCAGGTTCACTCTGGGCCCAGGAGGGCTCCCGGAGGTTTTCCGGGTTAAGGGCTGGTCTTCTTGAACATCAGAAGCTGGGGGAACCACATCCTGGTCTCACCCACCTACCCTGGCTTTGCAGACACCTAGGCCTCCACTCCCCCTCTAACACTTAAGCCACCTCCTGTGACTCAGATCTCACCGTCCGCAGAAGCCTCTGTCCTCAGCCATGCCTTCTATGCCCAAGGTGCCAGGAGGCGGAGGTCCCTGGCAGGTGACGTGTGAGTCCTGTGTGTCCTAGAAAGTCCACCGGCATTTGGGGACCAAGGCCTGCTCAGCGAGGGTCGTTCCTCCTGGGTCAGCCTGGCTGCTCAGGTCCCCTCGTCAGCTGGAATGCCCTCCCACATGGCCCGGACGCTGCTGCTCGTCTTCATCGTCTTCATCGTACTCCATCCAGGTGACAGACGGGCTTCCTCCCGGGACCCTGAGGGGTGTGGGCCAGGAGGAGGGGCCGGGGGAGGCTCCATAGAGATGTCTGGAGAGCAGGCTTGGTGGGGGCTGATGGGAGTCCTGACGGGAGATGACACCCGGAACTCCCCGCTCGGTTCCCTCCATGCTGCCTGCTGGCACGGTCACGGTCACGCCCAGCTTCCACCCAGAGCGCCTTTCTTCCCAGCCACCTTCCTAATAAGATAAAGTTGAAAGAACCAGCAAAATTGGCTTGAAGTGGTCACTTTCTTTAAAGGGGTCAGTTTTAATTTGATGAGTTTATATCTTGGTGTAGATATAATTAGGAGTTTGGGAGACCTAATTAAATCTAAGTTTCCTAGTGGAACTGATTTTAATTCGCTGAGAGACCTTCCCTGTCGGACATATTCCTGGACTCAGACCTGTAGCTTCAGATGAGCCAGACCCCCTCCAGACCCACCGAATAAAAGTCTCCGGGGTGGGGCCCAGGGACCTGTTCAACAAAGACGCTAGGTGCTATCCATGAGTTCCCAAGTTTGAGAACCACTGAAATAGAAGAATGCCTGGTAAATTTCACTAACTCAAGAATTTAATCAGGGATTTCAAGAATGGGTTTAATTCATCAATTTCGATCAGTTAAGTGAGATCTCAATCAATGACAGCCAGGTCTTCACCTGGAGATTTAAGTACTTGATGCTCTTTAACAAAACACAAAGCAGCAAGGTGGTGGCTGCGGACCCACCAGCGGGCATAGTGCCTGGAGAGATGTGATCAATGACACCAGTTAACTGGCAGCCCATTCGCCAGTGAGCTCCCATGTCACTGTTGCAGGGTAAGCTTCAGCAAGACGCTGCTGATGAGTGCAGCTGGAACACAGTGAGAGGCAGGGTGAGGGTTGGTATAGGAAAGAATTAGAAAAGGGTTTAATAAGCAGTATTCACTATTAGATCGGTTAACGAGGCACCCACAAGCTGGGACAGTCCACGGTGAGCTCTCTTGTCTTTTCTCCTCGCGTGGGTTATCGGGGGAGGTATTTACCTGGGTCTTCTCTCTGCCCCTAGGATCCTGTGCTCTCTGGGTGTCCCAGCCCCCTGAGGTTCATGCCCAGGAGGGTGCCGCTGCCCTCGTGCCCTGCTCCTTCAATGCCAGCCAAGGGACACTGGCCATTGGCTCTGTCACATGGTATCGGGACATGGTGGCCCCGGGGAAGGAAGTGAGGAATGGGACCCCAGAGTTCAGGGGCCGCCTGGCCCCTCTTGCCTCTTCCCGCTTCCTCTGTGACCACCAGGCGGAACTGCACATCCGGGATACCCGAGGCCCAGACGCCGGCGTCTACGTGTGCCAGGTGGAGGTGCTGGGCCTGGGTGTCGGGACAGGGAACGGGACTCTGCTGGTGGTGGAGAAAGGTGAGGCCCCCCCTTGGCTGGAGGCTCCACTCTCCCTGAAGTTGAGAGTCCTTCCCTGAGGCACCCGCTGCTGTCCCTCCCGGGGCACACACCTCTTCCCCAGTCCCCTGACCAAGCCCTTCTCCACCACCCACATGCAGGACCTCCTGGGCCAGGGCCCCTCGCGGCCCTCCTTCTTCGGGCTGGATTCTATGCCTTCAGCTTTCTCTCCGTGGCCATGGGCAGCACCATCTATTACCAAGGCAAGTGTGCGTCATGGAGCCATGACAATGGCCTAAGAGAAGGTGGAGCAGCGAGCGCGCTGGAGGGGGGAGACAGAGGCCAAGGCGAGAGGAGCCTCACAGCACCAGGGACTCGGCCACCTCCCTGCCAGGCCACTGCCACCTGGGGACACTGCCGCCTCTTGGATGCTTCTGATGAGTGATTCCAGACCCCAGTGACCCCAGCACTCTTCAGGAGACCCCAATAAATCGGCCCCACCACGAACTTCCAGTGAGCCTCTGTGTTTCCTTCCCCATCCCCCAACACCCCAGTGTGCCCCTCTCCGGGTTCTCCCTTCTGCTACGCCTGGCCTAGGAATGTCCAAGGAGGGAGCTTCCCAGCAATTGTGCCTGGAGGACCCCCCTCCCCCCAGCCTGGGGCTCAACAGGAAGTGACCCAGCTCTCCCAGCCCAGGAGGCGGAGAAATGAGGGATATCAAATCTGATTGGTCCAATTGTCAACTGCCCACAGACAAAGACAATAGTCTCCCCCCATGGAGGGTATCTCCCAAGACTCCTCATGGATGCCTGAGACCATGGACGGAACTGAGCCCTCTATATACTGTGGTTTTTTCCTGTACATACATGCCTATGATGAAGTTTAATTTATAACTTAGGCATGGTAAGAGATTAACAACGATGATAAAATAGGACCATTATAACAATATCCTATATAATAAAAGCCTAATATGCAAATTGTCCCCTTGACCGGGCGTTGGACCAGGAGTTCTACTGCTTGCTATGACATGTGCTGACCACCAGGGAACGGCGTGGAACATGGCGGGCAGCGGGCGGCAGTGGAGGTGCTGCTGGCCCCAATGAGCCCAGACATCAGCGGGACGCAGCAGGATGGTGGAGCAGGTGAGCGGGTGGCGCCAGGCCAAGGTGGGTGTGAGTGGGGCCCCATCGCCCTGTAGATGGCGACCAGCGGCGGTGGTGGTGAGGCCGCTGCCTGGCTCCCAAGTGCTGAGAGAGTGGGCGGGGGTCCGATGACTCAGGCAGAGGGGGTGCTCGGGGCCCTGGGGGCTCAGGTGCTGCCCAGGGCCCTGAGGTCAGCTGGGACCTGCCCTTCCACACCAGACACTCAGGCTTCGATTGCCAGCCAGGCCTGGGGACCACACCTGTGCACGGATTTCATGCACCAAGTCTCTAGTACTATAATATAAATGATGTGACTGTGGTTTCTCTCTCTCTCTCAAGATATCTTATTTTCCTATACGCACCCTGCTTCCTGTGACATGAGAGGATACAGTGCCTGCCTGTGTGATGGGCGAAGTGAGGTGAATGACATGGGCACTGGGCTGCCATAGGGTGACGTGAACACAAGCGCAGTGACACCTCGACTGCCGCCCTTGCAACCTGGCTGGCTACTAAGTGACTAGGCCAGTAGCATGTCCAGGGCGGGTTCGCTGGACAAAGAGAAGCCAGGCCCCGGGCAGGATGGAGCGGGACAGAGAGTTTATCACGCTGCTCAGAATGGTGCGCAATTTAAAACTTAGGAATTGTTTATTTCTGGAATTTTCCGTTTACTATTTTCTGACTAGGGGTAACTGGACCAGTGTTTCCACTGTTTCAAAGTGAAACCGTGGGTAAAGGGGGACCACTGTATTCTTTTCAAGCCTTCAGGGGAGCTTGGGTCCCTAGACACCCTTCTTTAGCCAAGAAATCACTACTTGACCCCAGAGTGGGTGGGAAGGGGTTTGATGGTGGCAGTGCTGAGGGGCTTGAGATGGATTGAGAACTCTGAGACACAGGAAGTTTGAGACCAAGGTGTTTACTGGGTGAGCCACAGGATGCACTAGGGCTGGGGGCAGGTGCTCAGGTGGGCTTCTTGTCAGCAACGCAGGTGTAGTCGGTGCCGGGGTCCTGCAAGGAGTCTTCCCTTTCCTGGTGGCCATGGCCAGGCGGCTCCCTGCAGGGCAGCCGCTGCAGAGATGCGTAGTGGAGCTCCTGCTCCTGCTCCTGCTCCGGGAGCTGGGCCTGGGCCGGGCGGGCACACAGGCTGGCAGGGGTCACAGGGCCTCTCCCATCCTTCCCTGTGAGCTCCCGCCCCACCCCACCCCACTTTCTTCATTACTTCCTCAGTCCCCTGTCCCTCCCTCCCCCTCCCTCTCCCTCCCTCTCTCCCTATCCCTTCCTCCCCTCCCCTCCCTCTCCCTCTCCCTCCCTCTCCCTCTCCCTCCCTCTCTCCCCCCACCCCCTCCCTCCCTCCTCCTCCCCTTCCCTCCCCCCTCCTCCCTCCTCCTCTCCCTCCCTCTCCCTCCTTTCCCTCCCTGCTCTCCCTCCCTCTCCCTCCTCAGCCTGGGTCCTTCCCCTCATTGCACCTTCCTCATGTGTGTCTCACTCTCTCCCCCTCTTCTCTGTCTTGGTGTC